AGCTTTTGCTGCTTTTGTCGAATAATGTGGCGAATGTCGTGAGAGGCCCGCTATTGAAGGTAATACCCACATATGTATACTCTTTTGTGACTTTGACTTCCTCTCCTGCGAATGTAAACCTTGGGGTTGGCACAGGGGCCCGTCCATGATAAGCAATGAAAGATTTGATAGCATTGATGATCATGAAGTTGTTGTTGCACCAAGTGTAGAACAAGTTCATTTTGCGTTGTGATCCCTCTGGTGAGAATGAGAGTAGGAGGAGATCATCCGCTTGTTCAAGGTGTGAGATGTATGTTCCAAACAACTCCACATCATCTTCCGTCTCCGGGATGAAGAAGTCCGCTAGAAAGAGGATCCATAAAATTGGGGAGAGTGTGTCCCCAATGAGGATTCCCATGTCCGAGATGAATTCTTCCGAGATATTCATTCCGTGTCGAACTTTGTACTTCATCTTGCAATAAATCTGGCGTAGGTAGTCAAAGATCTTTCCACCTGCTCCCAGCCACCACAGCTTGGCCCATAGTGTTGCTCGATGTACCGAGGGAAATGCATTTGTCAGGTCAACACCTGCAACCCATAGGGTTTTTCCCTGTGCCTTTGCTTTCTCAATTGCAGTCCTCAGTATAAACACATTATTGCAGGTACGGCGTCCTTTCTGAAAGCCATTTTGTGACGGGGGGATCACTTTCTTGTCCATAGCCCACTTATAGATCCGTAGGAGGAATAGTAATGTCACAAATTTGAGCATACAGCTTTGCAGGCCAACGGCCCTGTAACTTTCAGGTTTGTCTGCTGGCTTCCCTTTCTTGAGCACACCAACCAGTACAGTAGTGATCCATATGATCGGGCTATCTTTTTCTCTCAGGCACTTATTGACCAGTGTATGAATGAGCTCACTGTTCATTCTTCGGATGTCTGCGTAGTGCACATTGTCATCACCACTTGCGGTTTTTCCCGGGTGTAGTCGTTGAAGCTCGTTTTTTGCCTCCTCTATTTCAGTAACGTCAAATTCTCTCTCAAACATGGAGTCATCTGACCGATCTATTGTGGTCTGCGGTATGGAATTATTCACCCTTTCATTGAGCTCGTATTGGAGTCTGTTGAAGCTAGGGTGTATATCACCAAAGTTCATCCGGGGTATAAATGCCCTCATTAGGTCGTCTGCAGTGACAAGCTCTTCATTGACTAGCTTGCCTCCCGCAAACTTCCTGAAGACCTCCCAGAACTTTCTCGGGCAGGTTGCTGCTTCCATGAACTCGGCCAGATTGCTATCCTGCTTGCGAAGGACCCTACTTCTGTTCCGATGCGATACTAGTGTCTGACGCCCTATATTTGGCTTTGGTTGCGGGGACGGGCTGTATTCGGACGTGATTCTACACCTTCCATTGGCCTTCTCCTCCGTGATTGCATGCACTGCCCCAATTTTTGGTATTTGCAGGGAGATTTCTAGGTCTGTTCCTACGGTAGCCAACTCACCCGCCACTCTGGAATTCCTACATCCCATTTTGTCTAGCGTCAGGTGTACATGTGCGCTTTGGAGTCGGACCGTTTGTACAATTGCTTTGAGAACGTCCCCATTCGCACATGCCCATTGATTTTTCATGTGTGTCCCAATGTAAGAAGGGAGTGCCGAGACCGCATACTCCGACTGTGATACCACTAGTATCAGTTTTGTGATTGGGACCCCGCGGTATATGTACCCGGACCGTGCTATTCAACACCGATGCGTTGTAATTAGGCGCTTGGGCATTGCTCAGGCATACATGGGCGAAATTCCCATGCAACCATCTGCGAGCACCTACAGCTCACTTACAGGTCGTACTTTAGGTCTCCAAATAACTCGCGGCTCGTTTTGGTTACCCCAACCTGGCGCCGAGGGGGCCCAGGCCTGGCCCTGAGAGTTGATGAATCATACTAACCTGCACCATGAGTAAGCCTTAAGCTTGGAAATATTTATGGTAGGATTGGTCAGACATTTCGGCTATAAGCGAAGCTACTGTGTGTGGACATATAAATAAGATAACAAGGAAGAGGACCGTTCATTACACTCCCTTTCCAAGTCATCCCTAAGACCCACGCAAATATGCCAGCTTATGGAAATTGATACTTGATACTAAATCCAGTCTCATCAAAATCCACTGTGATAACCACTACACTATAGGACCTAACACTGACCCCGAAAGTATGCCTACTATATACTTTTTTAAGTGTGATCCCAAGCCCCCGGCGTGCTTGAAATGTAGGTTACATTGACGGACAAGAAAACCACGATAACGAAAGGATCACATACAATGCACAACACACCAATCGTGTGGTGTTCGAACGGTACAAAAATTCTTAGCGATACAAAAAGTACGCGTAAGGATCCGAAGATCAAGGGAGATATCGCTGCAGGCGATGAACGAAAAGACGAAAGTAACCGAGCATAAAAAGGGAATGACGCATATCGAGTGGACACGAGCAATCTGGCATGTCGCAAATTTCCGGACGACATTATAAGGGGGGGTCCCTAATATAGTCCCGGTCCGAGCTTATATGTACCTTTTAAGGGCCTAATATGTTGGGGCCATACGTTATTTTTGGACGCGGCTGATGGTATTCTATCTTATTCTATTTGGATTCTGTACACTCACCCAGTTGTAGTAGGGAGTCCCTACATAGTACAAATTACTATAGGCACTAGTAATAATGAAGCACAAACGGACTTAGCACAAAAATGTCAAATGGCAGAGTGGGGACAAACTCGTCACTTACTTGCCCAAAGGCTACCTTGCCTGTTGCACATCTTTCTCTGGATTCCTGAGGTGCTCTAGCCTTGCTCTCAGGAGAAATAGCGCTACAGTGACTCAAGTATAAGTCAAGCAGGTGTTGCAATTTTTGAGTCTCGCCAGCGGCTGATAAAGTATGGTTTTTTGACTGCTATGTCACCTGTTTTCCTTATTTCTCAACGCCGGCATGGTTTAGCCTTAGTATAGAAGCCTTTGTTCCATGTCTCAGTCAAAATCGTCAGTAGTTACGACCCTCCGCCAGGTTAATATGCGAGGGATATGGATTGGGCGGAGAGGAGAAGGTTATCATATTAAAGGTAGCGTTGTGCATAAATCAGACCGCATGGTCTAGTAGAAAAAAACGAAAACTACAGTAAAGACCTTATAAGGTCCATGAGAGGTCGCGAGTTCGAATATCAGTGGGTGAGCCGGCATATAAGTGCCAGCAAGACTTTTTTATGTGTTATCCCAGGACCCTTATAACACTGGGGGCATTTTTCTGTCAAGTAGGACATGTTGTGGTGGTGTCCAGGGGGCCAGGTCCAAGCCAAGTCCAAACAATGGTTGCTGCACCTTGGGAGGACTTAGAGAATCTTTGTTTAATGGTCCATTTCAGGTTCAGACACACTTGACACCAACACATCATGCCCTACTTGACAGAAAAATGCCCCCAGTGTAATGAACCTTTTATGGCACCTTATCGGCAGAACATTTTTATGACAATCCCTTAAAAGGTACCCGTCCCTGATATTCGCTTATATTGCCTTTTCTGGGCTTATATTCAGTTTCCGGAAATTTGCGACACACTCGAAGGTAATTGTGAGGATAAACATATGCAAGGACCCACAACAATGGAGGAAAAACGTAAGAGACTGAGCAAAGTAAGTAGAGCGCTGGTGGGCAAAACGGTTGACAAAGGAAGGTAACCAACGTAGAGGAGAAAAGGATTTGGGGGTTTTCCAGTGATTCACACCAGAGCGGTCTGGATCGGTGTGATCGTTCGTTAACTCACACTATCGACTAATGGTTTGATAGATGGAAACGAATATCAAAGAACGCGAGTAAATCTACCTCAGCAGCCGACAGCGGTCGCCAAAAACCGAAAGCAGCGAGGGCCGCTCGTAAAATATAAAGAGTCGTGTCAGTTGCTACGAGGACATTGACGTCTCGTGTAGGCTACAAGATTGACTAGGGTAAGCAGCGAGACTTACTCAATAGCGAGTGGAAACGGATGTAGATAAAAATATACCTGCAACCATGAAGGATACGTATCCACCGAAGAAATGTCAGTATGTCTAGAAATCGAAGATGTGCGAAACGACTAGGTGGTTGTCGGTGCTCGCATCACCAGCTCAAAGAACCTGAACAGGCTCGGGTATTTCGTATTTGTTAAGGTTGATCAGCTAAAATCCGTGGCTGGAGAGACAAGAGAGGATAGCCAGCCCCACCCCATGACGACTGGTTCATGTTCGGTAGCGGTAGGTTCAAAGGTGTGTAGTCGGTGCATAGACAGTCGAAACGCAGATGGGAATCGAGCTTCCCAGTTCAGAGGAAAAAATTAGAACGGATATAGGAACGAATGAACAAGAGGATGACAACGTACCTCAACACCCGCTATCTATCGAAACCCAGCCATCTATCCATCGAACGTCAATATTGTCATGACCATTGAGGCTTCTCACTGTGAGTCAAATGAGAAGCTATGAGGAGAGGATAAGATTCAACGCTGGGATATAAAGAATAACGTCAACCTAACTTCGACAGTGTATGTAGTCGGCCCAAGGATCTTGAGGAAAAGTCGCAACTCACACTGCCTCGTTGCGAGTGGCACGTACTTAGCCGGTGGAGAGCTTACAGCCGCAAATAAATGTGAGAGCATTAAACAAAGAGGAACGGCGATGTACTTTTTGCGCTCACTGCCCGCCCAATGAGAGGCACCAAGCACCAAATACATAGACCCAAAAGCGTAACCAGAGAGATCACCCATGAAGGGACATATGAGCCAAAGCAAACATTAAGGAGAGGTAAGCAATCGTAGTGCCAACATACCTAGCTATAATAATCCAAGGACAGCGTTCAACTTTGGAGGGAAGCAAAAAAAAACATCGTCGTCGTCATAGTCAAAAGTCAAGCCCCGCGTATTCGGTTCCGAAAGACACCGAGTTCCTGTGATCATTTCAATACCGCAATATCCGCACGCTACATATAGTCTCGACGCCGCAATGTGACAACGATCCCTTAGCTCAGCGGTAGAGCATCTGATTCCAGTGCGAAAACTAAGTAGAACCATTGGATGAGTTTCCAGAAGGTCGTCCGTTCAATCCGGGCAGGGATCAAACTTTTGAACTTCATTATGGTACAAGTCATCCACTGACCAGGACTTTTATCGGTATGTCACAAGGTGGTCATTCAATTTCTCAAGGAATAGAAGTATGAGGACGCCTGTACGAGCGTTGTGTTGCCAGATTGTGGGGTAGCTCCTAATTGGACTCGAGAGAATCACGACCCACCACTCCTACTCAACCAAAGAAGGCACAAAATATCTTCTCAGATCCAGACAGGTCCAACCAGAATTCGAATCTGAGTTAATGGAACTTGAAGTCGAAAACCGGCGTTTCGAAATCAGATCCACTATGCAACCAGTATGATAACCCCCACACAATAAGGCCTATATCTTGCTTATACCCGGGGAGAAGAAAGGTGAAACCGGTCCTGTGCTAGTTCGTAGCGGGATACCCAAAAGCTAAGGCCTAGACAGACCGCCAAACCTGGCAGGTGACAAGTCACAAGAACACAGACCGCGTTAGAGAACGACGCATGCAAGTCGACTCTGAAATGAAACAAGCCTAAAGGAGCGGAGACGACGAGCCTTAGCCAAGTAGGAGGAGGAAGAGGACACCGTACACGAGCAGTCTCCCGAAACGAGGGGAAACAGACATACCTGAACATTCAACAGAATGATCTATTTCGTCGGGTAGCTCTGAGTACTCTCTCAAGTAGAAACCCGTCGAAAGGGAAACTGAATCCAAACCCTACTTCCGAGGCTCGGGCCTTGATTCCCTTGATTCCCGAACTTTGTACTCAACTTCTCGACCCTCGGTCTACGGAGAAGATGCCTTACCTCAGGGGAGAACTTGAATTGGGACATCGATGCAGCTCGCCCGTTCGATCTGAGCATGGGTCATAGGACAACAGACTGAGTTGTGTAGATTTGTTTTTATACAACTCGCCGATTGAGGTATAAGTGTATATATAGTATTGGTCCATATGGATCCAAAGTCCAAGCCGGTTTCGTGTTATTGACGTCACTGGAACTGCAGAGCACTGAGGTTCGTTCAATAAAGAGTTCAAGATCCAGACCTGGGCTTCGACCGGGCGTTGATAAGTATACTGTGCTTACATTTGGCTGTCTCGAGACGGGGGGGTGAGCCTTGGGATACGAAGTATAGACATAAGAGACGATCCATTGAATATAGTTAGATATTTCAAATAGCACCACATAGAAAAACCCGAATTGTAACGAATGGAAAGCCAATTTCAATGATGGGATGTGTTTTTGTGTAAGTAGCGAATGGCTAAACGTCCAAGATCAAGAAGAACGAAAAGGAGAGAAGAAAGGTTAAGGAGAGTTACTGTTGCTTGAGTATATTCTATGTTCGATCAACTCCTCAGAGGTCTCCGGGATCGAGAGCATCGTAGGTCGGGCAGAGGTTATCCCAAGACGCTGAACGGAGAGATAAGGCCTCAGATTAACATTAGTGAATGGACCGAACTTACTTGGAGGCGCGGGTAAGGCATTCCACTCGTCTGTCCTCTCGGCGAAAACAACTGCGAAACCGCTGGGAGAGGTGAGTAGAGATAAAGCTCACATTCTAATTTCCTGATGTAGAAAGACCCGGTACTCACGCTTCGAAGTGCCAATCAATATGGCAATGCATGATCCATGGGCCTGGGTTATCAGTGCGGAAACGAAGCGTAACGTTATCGCTAGCTTGCCCGAGACTGACTACATCCCGGCGGATCTGAAAGGGGTGGGAAAGTGATTCATGAGGAACATAGTTTCGGATAGAAGAGGTCGGGAAACCACCATACCGGGTTAGCGTAATTGTAGGTGTCACTACCAGCCACCCGAACAACATCGAATGCGTGCTGCAAATCATACGCTAGTGAGCAAAGATAGAAAGCCAAGCCAAGCAGAACGTACACCGTGCAAGTGCATAGGATGTTCGATACCAAGCAAACCACCGCTGAAAGATAACTCGACGCTGGCATTCGCCGGAAGCGGGAACACCATTCCTTCGGGGAGCAAATCGGTAGCACTCTGGGCACCACTGAGAATCTGAAGCAGAACGGGGACGGTAGGAGGAGTGAAGGTATTTCCGTTGAGTGTGAACCGGCCGTCGGCCTATTGGGGTAATTAACTTGGCGCCTTCCATGTATAGTAACAAGGACTCACAAATCCGAAGTTGAGGTGCATAGCAACGTCAACTCCACCAATTGTAGGGTCTCCGGGTGCTCCAGGATTAGTGAGAGGCTGATGTTCAATCTCGTTGAGTGGCGGCAAACACAAGAACAGACATCGTAAACTCACTTTGAGGTCAGCTTCATTCAATGGGGTTGCCGGCGCAAACTCCGAAACGCTAACCTCGGGCTCCTCTTCAGGGGCTCCGACGTATCGCAAGATAGCTGAGTTGATGCCATTCACGAAACCAGATGCACCGGCATTGGGGTCAGCCCGTATCCCTGGTTAGTTTGTATGAGCATGCTGTGTGATTGACCGCAGTTCGTGCCATTGACTTACAGTAATTCCCGACAGGTTGGTTAGCTTCCATCTAAGAAACCGAAATCAGAGACTGTACAGGCAAAAGAGCCACGATGTTCGGCTTTTGAAAAGACCCACCACAAGCGAATATCGCTGGCCAGCGTAGATTGTTACCGAGTCCGCATTTACTGGTTCGTGGTTGACAGAGTCGGCTTCGATGACGGAGCTAAAAATATATTCCCAGGTTGAACTCAGCGGGGTTCTCAGCAATATAGTGAACACTCACAAAGAATGGCCTTCGATGTAGAATTGGTAATGCGGGTTGCAAGCAACGTTCACGATACGGAAGCGGTATCTATGAAGGAGATTAATTAAGGTGAATAAATCACTTAGAAGTAGACAGATACTCGTACCGTTTGCCAGATTCGACGGTTATGACTGCCAAAGGCGTAGTTGCGTTGGCATCACTCCACCGACCGAGACCATTGATGAGAGTAGATTGTGGAGTACTGGTAGGCGAAGGTGAATCAGTTGAGGATACACAAAAATCCAAAGGATTGAAGACCTACCCAAAGACAATTTCCTTTGCCTTAGTGTGATACCAGTCCGCAATTGTAATGACGGTAGATTCTGTTAATTAAGCATACTGAGCCGACCGCTACGACGATCAAGACGACGATTCTTACCATCATCAACATCGTAGAGACTTGCATGAGGGTCTTGTGGGTCGTACACGACCATAGCTCCGCGAAGGCCATCACAATACTGAGTTGCTAAAGAAAAATATCAGTACACCGCGCGAACAAGTATACTCTCCGATCTCACAAAGATGAGAATGGTACCAAAATGTTCCAGCCTGATCTTGAGATCTGAAATCATAGAGGAAGCTGTTGCCTTTGGCGATTGGGCACTGTGTCACGGAAGCAACACCATCAGCCCAGGGAGATTCTCTCTGGAAGAATCCGTGCCAGTGCTACCGAGATTGAGGGGATGAGTAAGTTTTATGGGGAGTACTCGGGATATGATACTCACGATACTGGTAGACTGCAACATCGTGTTGTCGTTCAAATTGTTGACAACGTTGAGCTGGAACTCGTCGCCCTGTAAGATCACAGGTCAGCGGTCTCTTTCGTAAGATGGACCAGGTAGTAGAGAGCAGACCTTGTTGCCAACGATGAGTGGACCAATCGTGCTGTCGCCAGCAACCACAGCACCGCGAGTAAAACCATCCGGAGAGACGTCCTTGTTGGTGATGACAAGATCAGCTACAGGACCTATCGCTGCCAAGGCTGGTGATGCTAGGACGCAAGCGAGTGCAACAAAAGAGGGTTGAAAGAGACGAGGCATTCTGCTCGTGGTGTGGGTTGGTTCTGTTTTCCCTCCGAGCTAAAGATGAGCTTTTATACTCGAGACGGTGTAGACGGGAATTTGCCTCAGGCACTGAAACATGAATCACTAGTCAAAGCAACAGACAAAGCACCACCATTATCCCGACAGCGGGGCGAACCTACATTCATGTAGCATTCGGCCCAGAGCTTTCGGTAAAAAGGTGTGTGTTACCGGTGAGAAGGTGTCGTTAGTAAAGAACGGGATTGCTTACCTGTTTCAATCCAGTGTTTCTTGGTACTTTCTAATCGACTGATAAATCCGAGCAAGGAAACGAATTGGATGCGTCGACAAGCTAGGTAGATTTGAGTGCGTCTTCAGCCACAACTGGCGAGCATATACTTCTAATACTGAAATCCTTAGAGTCCTATTTCCGTAGCATATCACAATCGCCAATGTCTCGACAGAACGAGGGGTTATCGAGCCACAGGACACATTAAAGTTACCTGTAGGATAGAGCCGAGCGTCGGAAATTGAGAACCACCACAACGGGCATCATCCTCCATTCCATTTCGGCAAGTCGAGGCGACTACATCCGGTCAAAGGGCATCAGTACCTTGCAAAATATACGGGGTTAGGCATGCTTACGAGTCACTTCTGCCATCCCCTAATCATTGCGAGCCGCAGCAGCGGTACCGTGACGAACATGGACGGGGCAGAAAGAGGAGATACGGCTATATGGTACAAAGAGCTGATGTCAAATCATACCCCTTTTCACGAATGCGCATTGGAAAGCAATAGAATTGACGTGCCACTTCTGTGATCCGCCCATGTGGCGCAGCAGATTCTGGAATACAAGTTCATATATTGAGAGAGGTTTTTGCATTCCTGACGGCTGGAGGATGAAACAAGGGATTACTCATAAATTGCTTCTTCCCAGCGGCTAGCTTCCCTGGCTGGTCCCTCGCGAGCCGGGGCGACTTGGTCTCGGGCTCGGCTTGAATCCAGAGGGTAATGTGTTGTTTCCTTGACCCAAAGATGGCTTTTACAGACATGCGAGCCTTGAAATCAGTCTATCCGAGCTCAGGCCGGATTCTCGCGTCAGAGTCCGCGAGCGTGCTTATTGGTGACCGCTTCCGAGATACGTTGAGCTTTTGCGAGACGTCGTGGAATCTAGAAAAAAGGTTGAGTCATTCATAACGGCATCAATTCAGATGTTTAGGCAAGAACTCCCACACTCCACACTCC